AGGATCACAACATCGCACTAGCTAAATAAACTTCTTTTATTTTGCTAAAAACCACGTCGCGTCAGAAATTTTTAATTAATGCAAACTGTGTGTGTACACCCTGCAGATAAATATTATGGTCAGTTTAAGTAGTAAAAATAATAATGCTTTATCGTATATTATTGTGTTCGCGAACACGCGCACTTGTATTTCGTGTTGGGCGCACACGAATGCACATAATATTATGATGTACTTGTATCTATACTGTGGATACTATTTATTATATAATATATTAGATGTAAAATGTATAAAGATATTGTATATAATATATTTTATTACAAGCACGATATTGTATTATGTATATACCTACGGACGGCAATCGTTAATCGGATCGATTCACGATATTTTCTCATTAACCGTTTAATTAATTTCAGACACGAAGAATATCTCAGTCGTCGTTATATATGCATAATATATTTATGGTCGTATCGTGTATGTAATATTATTATTATTATTATATTGTAATAATATATCGTTATTATATATACACATCGTTTGATCGCTGTAAAACAATATTACAATACCAACTACTACTATTACTACTGCTATTACTACTACTACTACTATTACTAGTACTACTACTGCTGCTATACTACAACCAATCTCTACTTCTACTACACCGGCGAGATGAGCATTAAAAAATATTTTCCCGTTTGCGCGCTTAAAATATGTTATTATTATGCGACGTACCTGTACAGATATGAGCCAGTGTTAATTACGCTTTGAAATTTACTGGGTCATCCGCGAAACGCGTTTTATTTATCGGGGGGTTGTCATTACCCATATATCCCCCTACCCTTGAACAGAGTTTTATTTATTTTTTACATATTATTATTGTTTATCAACGTTATTTTATTATTGCGCAAACTTTTTGGGAAGATGCAAACAATGTCAATATGAGATTCTACTATCAACTTGGCTTTCTCTCTAACCCCCGTGATCTAAAGGTTATCATCTAATTAAATTCTCGATAACCGACCGAGACGCTTGATGTGAAAATTGTGCAGACAATTGATACTTTAATATCAGTTCACCAATTAATAAAAAAATCAAATAGGAAGTGATATCATCAATGGGTGATTTCTTTTATAAAGCTGTTCAATGTACATTTTCACTCAGACTCGGCTCTCATACTCTTATCGTGCTTGTTGTTCCATGTTCTGTACTTAAAATTAAAATAATAAAATAATTTTTAACCTAACCACGGTTATGATGCTATATGCTTGATAACTAATAAATATTCGAATTTTTAACAAATATTTTTTGCTCGTTGATACCAAGATTTTTTCTAGACATTTTATCAATTTTCTTATACTCGTATTTATAATACAAGGTTATTGTACTCAATACACGTAAAAGTGTGTACTGAACGAATTTTTTCGCTACCTATATAATTTTATTATTATTATTAAGTACTTTTGTTAAGTTTAAAGTATTTAGAAGAAAAAATGTTAGGTACCTAGTGTAAATTCAGTGTAAAATATTATAAAATGTTGATTTTTAGTTACTTTCATGGTAAACTATAATTTGTCAATAGTTTTTGGTCATAAATTATAGTATTTTTATTTCCAATCCTTTCTCCTCAGCGTTGCTTTAGATTTCAATGTTTAATACAATATAGGAGTTTAATGTGTACAAAATATATTCTACAATGTTATATACGTAATAATATATATTATGACGAGACGCGATCACGAGATCGCCAAAAGAAGATAGAAACACTGTCCGTCATAATAGGTAACACTTATGATGCTATACACACTATCACTAAACGTATTATGTACATTGATTGGCAAGTACCCTGTACGCTCAGGTATCTATGTACCTACATAGCACACATTATAGGAATATAAATAGAAGCATGTATTATGCACTCATGTATAATTCATCGGACGGGCATTTAAATATAATGCGTAGGCGTTTTCATACACGGTTTCTTCTTCACTTGTATGTATAATTACCTAGTAAATGACCGACATTGTGTTTTCACACTCGCAGTTGTGAGTATACCTTCTCACAGACGACTCGCACAGTAATACGCATGCCCGACAAGCGAAATCCGGTCGTGCCTATCGTATACTAAAACAATGTGTAAACATAGTTGTACACAAGGTGTAATAATATTATTTTCATTATTACTATATTGTGTCTATAAGTATATGATGTGATTACAGTAATCGTCCGACATTGATATTAGATATTGTTATTACAATGACGACAAGTATTAAAATGTATTAAAATATTATGGCGTTATTATATCGCGAGAATGACCTGCGTTGTGTTCAACAAGTACCATGAAACAATTTTTCGTGTATTATACGTCAATAGATCACCTTCAAAACAGTGTGATTTAGCTTCAACACGGTGCTCACAACAATTTAGTTTACAAGGTATTGCATCTTTTGTAAACAACTTTTTACTTCCACTAAATGTTTTAAGTCTCGAGTAGCTTAGCTTTTCTTTCGAATAGTTTCATTAAAGTCCACAACTATTTGGCCTTCGAGGTTTTTTTTTAGTCTCGGAAACAAAAATAATTTGTAGGGAACAAAGTCAGGTGAATGTGGTGGGTACCGATTGCAAGTATTTTTGAATGCCAAAAATATTATCATAATATAATATCTGTAATATCGGTGGTCGTCGCATTTTCACCGTTTCAAATTTCATACTTATAAAATTGGAATCAAGTACATGTTATAACGAAATCCCTTTTGGAAATTCCCTTCTACACGATGACGTATCTGTGTGTCCCTTAAGAGAGCTCGACGAATTGTCTATCCAATGCGTCTTTAGTCGATGCATGGCGAGTAGTGAGTACCCATGATTATGCGAACGACGATGGTATCAGTATACATACTACAAAATATTATACAAATTACCTATATATATATATATAACCGATATAATGTAGGTGGGCTGTGCGATGATAAATATTATTTGCTATCAAGCATTCGTATCGGTGGTCAATCGAAAAAATCACAGCTCACTGCACAATAATTATGTCTTACCTCTGCAGTGCATTTTACCTACACCAGATAATACCTACCTAATTATAATCGTAATAAATCGCACGCCGCTGAATGATTCGTTCGAATCGAATAATAGTAATAATAATAATAATAATAATAATAATGGTAGTAGTAGTGTTACTCGCAATAAAACGCTGCACACTTATGGGCAATAAACCATTTCGATAACGATTTTAATCAGTTAATTTATTTTACCTGCGTCCGATGCAGCTATTATACACTTATAACGCACATACATATACATGTATAATGTATATATACATACGATTGCTTGGCTGTAGTTATATATAAATGTATTATTTTACATCTTCTTCGCGTTTATCCCACCGGCGTTGAATCGACCACCCCACAGTACCGACTGCAGGCTCTTCGAGGTCCTTATCTATACGAGTTACCTATACTCTATACTCTATATGTGCGCTTATATACATAAATAGTAATATGCGTTTTTATCTCTTTTATTTAATTTTAATTTTAAATGCACCACTTATAGTATAAGTGCGGTGTTATTAATTACGGAACAAATGGCCAATTCATTATCGTCCCGAGCGAGTTAGATGACAACGACATAGTATTATATCCTAATATATTATTATAGTTTAATATTTCGTAATTAATTATGCAAATATTACAATTTTAATTCATTTAGAAACTTGTTTATTGGATTTATAGATATTACGGTTTTTACTTTATTTGTTTGTATCATTGTATTTCGAATACAAATAGACCTAACTATGAAATACATGGTGAATAATGTATACCTACTAAATAGTAATATTATATATAATAATATCCATGAAAACAAGAAAATAGTTTTCCACTTTTATTTTTACGCGTGTACCTACCTGTATTAATATATTATATAATATTATTCATAGAATATTTACTATTTATTCTTTTAATTTCAAAATATAATTTATCCATTTTTAATATGATATATCATCTTCTATTATGACGAGAAACTTTTCTTATACCGTATTTAATATTTTTTTGTGTTATACAATCTACACAATATTTAGTATAATAATTAATCAGCATAATATTGAGGTTGATATTTTATAGTTTTGTGACTGGAAGGCAGAAATCACCAATTCGGTATCGTCACACTCCAGGGTTTCATGACTGATGTGTTGTCACGGCGCGGCGGGTCGTCAAAGTGTAGTTATTTTGCTACCCTAGAAAAATCAACGGTAGTTAAATAAATTGTTATACATTTCTGTTGTGAACCTATAAATACAACTTCAACTGTACAAAATGTATGTTGTATTTAAAATTGATAAAATTTATACTTCAAACCCGAATACCAACCCGAATACCTCTCGAAGCGCATACATATTAACCACAAAATTAAGAACCAGACACACCAACGTCACTCTAATAAGCATGAAGAAAAATTCTACTGAAGCCAATGTGACGAATCCCACGCAGTAAAGCACACAGTCCTCAATTGCCCACTTTTTCGCTCTATACAAGAACAATTCTCAAGCGTCCGTCGATTTGAAAACAGTAAAATTTATGTCACCATAAAATATGTTTTAATACACTGACATCACAAATTTATAATTCACAGAACTAAACTTGCTTAAAATACTCCGAAATCGATAATATTGTACTATAATATAATACAACTATTAAAATGCAATAGTCCCTACTGATGTAGATCTTGGCAAAGTAAAACCAAAACTGGAAATATTGTATTGCTGCAGATGGAAATTTTGAAAATGTACAACTCATCACATGCACCTATATTTTTTAATTTAATTATAAATATATATTGCATAACTCTACAGTTCCAAAACCCTACAGTACCACAACCTACAGCTAATGGCCTCGGTTGCCGAAGCTTAAAAATAAAATAAAATATAATATATTGAACAACACAAATATGCTCAAGAGTGGGACTACTATAATAACGATGCACGCGTTTGAATAATATTATATTTTTTCTACACCGTAGATCACGACGCCGCTAAACCACTGCGGATTGCCGTTACCGCGGTCGGCACTTTGTATTCTGGCCAAGTGTGGTCTATACCATAGCATTTTTAAGACTCTTACCGTTTCGTGCGGTTTCGATGGGCTGTAAATGAAAATGGTTTTTCCGATGTACTGATTTCCGTTTCGACAACGGTCGTAACATATCGTTATAACGTAGTAGTCGTCACCGTCGTCCATTTCGAACTTGGTGATCAAGTGGATTTCTTTGCCCCATAAGATATAACTACTGTCGATACAATTTACCACGGGAAACGGCCGTTGGGCGTATTTTGCAGCCCGGACCCTGGCGACCAACTCCGAATAATTGATGTGCCTCAATATCCGTTTCTTTAGAAAAATTGCAATTGCATGTCCGTCGATTGGTTCTGTACTAGAGGGTACCTCACTCTGTATAATCAAATCACAGGCCATCGCAATCACAGTTATTTACAATTGTTTGTCTGTTTACATTTCTTTCAGCTAATAATTACTACGTATATCATGCGCCGTACTTGCTGCAATGGTTCGGTGAGCTGTTGGTGACTTGCGGTTGTAGTTATCGCATCCGGTGCCTCCGTTGCAGGTATAATTGCATCCGGTGTCTCCGTTGCAGCAGGCATTGCATCCAGTGCATTCGTTGCAGGTAATGCATCAGGTGCCTCTGTTACGTCCATATTCTCGTCAACGAGTTTGGAAAAACATTTTCTGTGACATAATAACTTACATTCTGTGAACGACGACAATAAATACAGTGTTTATTATTTTCAGACGAGTGTTCGAAAACCACAGTCGTCTGTCATGGCCACAGTCTCACTGATCTCATACATATATAATATATATATACCTCTGCACTTGAACATCGTGGTCCATAAACGTAACTTCCGAGTCCTACACAATGAACACTTTCTAAACGTGTTATGCACCAAAAACCAATTATGACCCACATGACTGAAAAATAACAATAAATTAGAGTAAGCACGATATAAAGTTTAAGTAGAAACTCATCACCCATCTGTACAAAAGAGCAGGTCATTATTCGGTTGTTCAGTGATGGTCATGTTGATCAACAAATATTATATTTTTAATGTCTTATTAAATTTTATGTGACATGTAATACATTTCAGTTTGTGCGATTTACTTATCCAAGAAAAAAATCAAGTGAGCTCGTTAGTACTGACACAAATTATAATATAACTATTATATTATATAATCTGTGGTTTTACAGTCAACATAATACCATCGTTGCTACGAGAATCGTCGACAACAGAATATTGCAATATTCGGTTATGCAGTTTTTTTGCAAATGACCAATATTTATTTTAAAATTGTTTTTTTTTAAAAATTAAAGTATATATATATATATGCATGTTTATCTCCTTAAAAGAACAGCTGAGTTCTTGAAACGTATGAGGCGTTTTACGATAATGCACATTCAATAATATAAACGTATAATGTATATACAATGACTGCTGCACAGTTCAGCACCAACAGTTATACGTACACTCTGCACTATATACCAATAAGCTGCACTTTTGTTTCGTTTTCAAAAAAAAAAACACATTTTTGTAACAATCCATTAATCGCTCCGCTAGGATCTAAAAAGACGCGTGATTATAGGCCAGAGTTGATGGAAAATAGGCCGTGTTAATCTAATGTTTCCTCTGAAACCGGCGCCACACTGCATGCCTAAGAACTGTATTATAATATAATATAAGTACCTATTATTTACGGTATTAAATATGGTTATGATTTCCGTGGGTTCGATGACGGCGTACGAGGACACGAGGCGGATAAATTATACGTAGGTTAATATACGTCTACAACTATGATTTTGTGATATAATAGGCGAAGAATAATATTATGGGTCTAGGAACCGCGGGCGGCGGCGGGGTGGCCTCGGGGGCCCGGGAATATAAATTTAGTCATAAACATCGCGTATTTTTCGGATAAACGAGACTGTCGCGTCGTTGGACTTGGTATAATACGTCCAGTCATAATTATTTTATTACGGTTTATAATGTAAACGATATAATATAATATTAATAAACGGTCCGACGATGAAGACGTGGCCGGTCGAAATCCCCGCAGCAGTACGCGTCACGATACTTGGGTAATATCTTATACTCGTTTGGAAACGATGGTGATGATAATGAAAATGTTTTTTTTTTTTTTAACCGCTAACGTCCTACTCGGGAACTGCAAACATAGCGTGCACGTCGTGATATTATATTTAATCAACAATATTAATACAGTGACACCTGCAGTTATAATTGGCACTCGGGTTGCTTCAGTTATTGTAAATGACATTTCGGCGATCGCGTGTTACGCTCCCCCCCCCCCCCAGCTGCCGAAGACAAAGGTGACGACGGTCGTTCGTAGCATAATATTATGATATTATCTACCGTTAAGTTATTTTATTCGCCATTATTGGCGTTGTATAGCATGTCCACACGTGTACCAGCTATAATATTTACGTCATAATAATATGCGCACATACGCATGACAATAATATTACAGTGAAGTGTAATGATTGAAATGTGCAGGACAGGTTAATAGAAATATTTAATTCAACTTAAGCTATGTGTACACAATATCGTTGAGCTAGAAGTTTTGAATTTTTAACAAATAACAATAATAACTTCTCTTAGCATAAAACAAGTTAATAATTTACATGTTTTAATTGGTACTTGGGTGGATTGAATATAAAGAGCTTTTTTAGTTTTTTGTGCCTATCTGTTATAATATGTATATACTCACGCATCATTTGGGAAATGATAATATTTTGTAAATATTTCGAAATGGGAAAAATTATACCAGGTTACCAGGTAATTAAACCATGTACAGATATATTTAAATCAAAAACGTCTAAAAGAAATTAATATTAACTTGATGGTTTGTCTTCAAAACAACTGAAAGCAGATTAATATTATTTCAACATTAAATTACACTTGTCGAGTTCGCAAGTTAATACAATGCGAATATCAACTAGGTTATACTCTAGTTGAGTTAAAAAGAGTTAAAGAAAATATTAAAATTGTTACTAGGTAATTTCCAACTTTTATTAAAATATCATGTGTGCGATTTTTGCTTCAACGCAAAACGACTCAATCCAATATTATATTATTATAATTATAGGACTTCGATATATTACAATACACCTAGAGCCACACACCTACGCTCGAGTGCTGTGCGTATTGCACGTTACCACGGTAGTACCTAAAGTGTATTGGGTTCGTGTATAACATTATTCATAACTCTTCCATTGGGTCCAATGAAGTCCTACGAAGAGCAAAACGCCAGCCAGGTCGGCTCAGGCAGGTGGGTATATGTTACTATATATTGTACATAATAATATAGGTGCAGGTAAGTACGGCTGCAGAGTGCAGTGAATGAAATGCGGCCCGGCGGACTGCATCTGCAGGCGAGACAACTGTAAACGCATAATGATAATATTACCTATAACCACCTCGCCGAGCGAATCGTATATTATTATTATTATTATTATTATTATTATTATTATTATTATTATTATTATTATTATACCGTCGTCGTATACAAGTGCTCGATTGAGAAGACATAAAAAATAATAATCATAAAAATAACGAAATAATCGTCGTGCGTACGATACAAGTGCGGGTTGGGATACACAGCGAACGATAATATTCTAGCTACATTATTATTATTATTATTTCATATTTTATATTTTATTATTATATATTATCATGGTAGACATACGTGCGCGTGTACGGTCGGGTGCCGGCCGGACAGTGGTACTCGCGGTATAAATAATACGGTAAAAGGTGTCAGCGCCTCGGGGGACGCTCGTGCGTGGGCAGATATATACGTGCGGTATACATAGAGGGATCTATAATACTGTGTACGCGTTATCATTATTATTATTATTATTATTATATATAATATTATGCGCCGCGGACGGTGCACTATATAATATAATACTATCTACACCCGCGACTAGTACACACACACACACACACACACACACACACACACACACACACCTATGTACACGCGAACGCCATATTATACTTGACGACATTTCCATATACTAAACCTCAGCCGCGTGTAAGCTATATATTATTATTATACAGTGAGTTTACGCACATAAATAAGACTCTGCAGCGAGTCCTCGTTCTTATAATATGACAGTCCGTTATTGCATAATATATTTACGCAGCGTTCGTTGGACGCGACTGACCGACAGATCGGCTCTGTATATATCGGCGCCGCAATACCCGTACGACCGTAGTAGGTATCTGCAGGGTAGGTCACCTTTCCTCCCCCAATTCCTCGCGATGTGACACTTTACGGATAAACTGGAAATCACTGTGCCCCCCCCCTCCCACCGGTTACTCTATTACGTTACAATTATCGACTTGTGTCACTTTACAAACTCGAGATGCCATGAGCACATTGTATCCAAGCCCGACGGCCTATAACCCCAAACGGGTGTGATCACAACGTGCAATCATCAATTATCGTGACGGAGCCCCACGCAGGCCCAATGCCTCTCTATTTGAATATAAACGCACAAAATGTCATTAGGGCAACGTTCTTCGATCTCTTTACTGCATAACATACGATCTCATATTATAATATCGCTATCGGCGGCGGCGGCGGCGGCGGCCCGTATTATAGACGTCTGTGGATACCGTCTGTGCGGTAGTCAAACGCATTTCGGTTATATTTTTATGGTTTCGGCCGAATCCCGTGTGCTGTCTGCACCTTGGGGTTCTCTTCGTTTACACGGCACGTGACATACCATTACTTTAATGTGTTGGACTCTCGCGTGTTCGGATTGTCGGCGGCACATATATTATATTGTAGTCGTATACAGATACAATTGTATACACAAACGCGCATAGGTACGTGCAGGCATACGTTCTCCACAACACTTTATAGCCTATCATTGTGTTTGCGCATTACGCAACGTAAATAACGTATTTTAATTTAACACACTTCGGACAACAACTATAACGCGCGGTCCAAGAGAGGCAACTTGTGTAAATCACGATTCCAAACACTATAATACACATTATACCTGCCTATATGTTTACGATATTATATATAACCACGAACTGGACTGATTTTGTTGAGCAACAATATACGGCTATTATGCGAGTAGTAGATGTTTATCGTTATAAAACATCAATAAATAAAACATAATAAATAATAATAATATTGCCGTGTACTTTCTATATTAAAGATAATTTTGATAAATCGTTAAACGTAATCTGGAAATCTATAATAATATTCGAATAAAGTATTATTTGGTTTGTATAATATTTTTTAATCGATTTCTATGAATTCATAATTTCCGAGTCGGTACACATATTTGACTCGGCATCGGGTTATAATTGGCTTGGATCACATAAATAATCACCCATGCCCTATATATAAGACGACATATCTGTGGTCCACATATATGAATTGATTTTGTAAAGTATTGCCAAAAAAGTAAAAAAAAATTGAACTCATTCATTAGTTTACTTTTTGTGTGCATGGTTTTCTTTTAAAATGCAATTGATAAACAAGAATTAATGAACATTCTAAACAATAAGAAAATTAAGAAATATTGTAGTACTATTATTTTAAACGTAGTCATCTAGACTTGCGGCCCTTATAAACGATAATCGGTCACACACCAGTGGGAAGTGGGTACTGGGTATATTATAATATTATTTTGTACTTAAACCCGCACCTCGTCTAATAATTAATATTGTTACGCTTCTCCACGACTGTATTCGCAAACGGAAACTATTTGACACTGATAAGTGATAACAGTCATAGCTTGAATATCAATTTTCTAACGTTATAAGCATTTAACTTTATTTTTATACAAAGTACGATAGTATACATAAACTAAATAGAGTGACAGTGATTTGACCAAAAAGAGACGTCGACACATTGGGCTAAAATTGTATACTCTACAGTCTACATAATCTTCCTTTTTCTCTCTCTCCCTCCCTCTCTCTCTCGTTATACCGTTTGTTTTTGTTGAAAAAAGATAATAATATTATACATTTAAAACGTTTTATCA